AACTGTGGTGAGCAGAGCTCACCTAAAAGAAAAGCTAAATAAAAAATTAATAAAAAGAAAACTAAATAAAAAAACTTTAAGCAGTTTTTTTTTAGATCTGGGTACAGATGATGCCTGACAAGTAATAACTGGTAAAGCGTTCCAGATTTTCAGCGTGAAAAAACACTATATTGCCAAAAGTATTCACTCACCCATCCAAAACATTTAATTCAGGTGTTCCAATCACTTCCATGGTCACAGGTGTATAAAACCAAGCACAAAGGCATGCAAACTGCTTCTACAAACATTTGTGAAAGAATGGGTCACTCAGGAGCTCAGTGAATTCCAGCGTGGTACCATCATAGGATGCCACCTGTGCAACAAGTCCAGTCGTGAAATTTCCTCGCTACTAAATATTCCACAGTCAACTGTCAGTGGTATTATAACAAAGTGGAAATGACTGAGAATGACAGCAACTCAGCCACGAAGTGGTAGGCCACGTAAAATGACAGAGCGGGGTCAGCGGATGCTGAGGTGCATGGTGCGCAGAGGTCACCAACTTTCTGCAGAGTCAATTGCTACAGACCTCCAAACTTCATGTGGCCTTCGGATTAGCTCAAGAACAGTGCGTAGAGAGCTTCATGGAATGGGTTTCTATGGCCAAGCAGCTGCATCCAAGCCTTACATCACCAAGCGCAATGCAAAGCATCAAATGCAGTGGTGTAAAGCATGCCGCCACTGTAAGTAGTAAGTAAGTAAATAAAGTTTATTTATATAGCGCTTTTTACAACAGGTGTTGTCACAAAGCAGCTTTACAAGGAAATGAGCATTACAAAAAGAAATCCGGGTCCAAGCCCCCATGAGCAAGCCAGTGGCAAGTGGCATTGAGTGTCATTGGCATAGCAGTGGAAGTTTATGCCGTGTTTACTGATAATGGTGCCTAGTGGTAGCATATATAATGTGAATAATACAGGTCCTAAAACAGAGCCTTGTGGAACACCATACTTTACTTTTGTGAGAACAGATGATTCACCATTTATATTAACAAACTGATAGCGATCAGTGAGGTAGGACTTGAACCAGGAAAGAGCTATTCCTGTTAGCCCTACAAGGTTTTCTAGTCTGTCTAGTAAGATAGTGTGGTCTACTGTGTCAAATGCTGCATTAAGATCGAGGAGGACTAACAAGGACACATGATCTTGGTCAGAAAATAATAATAGTCATTTATAATTTTTACTAGTGCTGTTTCTGTACTATAATGTGGCCTAAAACCAGATTGAAATTGTCTGTGTATTTGATTCCTATTCAAATAGGAGCTTAATTGTTTTGCTACAACTTTTTCCAAGATTTTTGATATAAGGGGAAGATTCGACATGGGTCTGTAATTTAATAGTTCGCATGGATCGAGGTTTGCTTTCTTAATCAGCAGTCTAATTACTGCTAGTTTAAGAGATTTTGGGATGTACCCAAGGCTAAGAGAAGAGTTTATTATTGACAGAATAGGCTTGGTTATTTCTGGCAAAATTTCCTTGAGTAAACCTGTAGGAATCGGATCTTACATACAAGTAGATGATTTTGCGGAAGAGACAATTTTAACTAGTTCATTTTCTTGGAGTAAGGTAAATGATTCCAGCCTCTCTGCAGGGATTATAATATTTTCAAGGTTGAGGCTGGCATTAAGGGGAAGCAGGTTTGTAGAGTTTAATTGTGTGTTCTGAATTTTCTGCCTAATTTTTTCAGTTTTATCACTAAAGAAGTTCATAAAATCGTTGCTGCTATAGGCTGGTGGCATCTGGGGTTCACTAACTGTTTTGTTCTCTGTTAGTTTAGAGATTGTGCTGAAAAGTAATCTAGGATTATTCTTATTGTTTTCTATGAGAGAGGAGAGATAGGCTGAGCGTGCTGTAGCAAGTGCTCTTCTATAGTCTATAAGGCTCTCCTTCCAGGTGGACGGGAACACTTCTAGCTTAGTCAGGCGCCATTTTTGCTCAAGTTGTCTGGCGGTCTGTTTTAAAGCCGGAGTGTGGTCATTATACCAAGGGGCGAGTTTTTTCTGCCTTACTATTTTACTGGACTCAGAGCAGTGGAGACGTGTTCTCTGGAGTGAAGAATCACGCTTCTCTGTCTGGCAATCCGATGGATGAGTCTGGGTTTGGCGGTTGCCAGGAGAACGGTACTTGTCTGACTGCATTGTGCCAAGTGTAAAGTTTGGTGGAGGGGGGATTACGGTGTGGGGTTGTTTTTCAGGAGTTGGGCTTGGCCCCTTAGTTCCAGTGAAACGAACTCTTAATGCTTCAGTAGACCAAGAGATTTTGGATAATTTCATGCTCCCAACTTTGTGGTAACAGTTTGGGGTGGCACCTTCCTGTTCCACCATGACTGAGCACCAGTGCACAAAGCAAGGTCCATAAAGACATGGATGAGTGAGTTTGTTGTGTAAGAACTTGACTGGCCTGCACAGAGTCCTGACCTCAACCCAACAGAACACCTTTGGGATGAATTAGAGCAGAGACTGTGAGCCAGGCCTTCTCGTCCAACATCTCTGTCTGACCTCACAAATGCGCTTCTGGAAGAATGGTCAAAAATTCCCATAAACACACCCCTAAACCTTGTGGAAAGCCTTCCCGGAAGAGTTGAAGCTGTTATAGCTGCAAAGTGTGGGCCGACATCATATTAAACCCTATGAATAAAGAATGGGATGTCACTCAAGTTCATATGCGTGTGAAGGCAGACGAGCGAATACTTTTGGCAATATAGTGTATATAATAATATATACAGCAGTCGTATACAGCAGTCGTATACAGCGGATGAAGCTTTGAAACCCAGCAACTTACACTGTCGCTTGGAGACTATTAATACACACTGTGAAATATATCATTATTGAAATGACACTCTCACTGTGCACTTTACACTGTAATATTGCTGTAACTCCTAGTTATGTCTTTACTCATTGTACTTTTAACTACCTCATACCACTTAGTGCCTGCTATCATGTAAATATGACAAATCTGTCTTATATGCTATGTAAATATGCAAATACAGATACTTTTATTTCTACTCTCCTAAACTTTAACTTATGTCTATTTTTTGTCTATTTTTATTTCTGCCTACCTTATGTCTCTTTTTCTTTCTTTTTTTATTTTTCTGCATAGTATATGTAAGTTTATGTGCAATTATATGTCCTGCTATTGAAGCACTGCAATTCCTCTTTGGGATCAATTTCTATTACCGCGACCCTATCTGGACTAAGCGGTTAACGATGATGATGATGATGATGATGATGATGATCAATTTCTATCTATCTATCTATCTATGCATAGTAAATATGTATCTAAACATGTTGAATATGAATAAACAATATGTGTTTAAACATGTTGAATAAAAATATGTATCTAAACTTCCAGAACTCAGTTTTCAGCTTTTCTCTCTTCAGTTTGACATCCAGCACTCAGTAGCTGCCAAATCAGTCTTCTCATTAGGTGAGTCAAAAAGATGATCTGATCGCTTACATGTGCGGACCTCTAGTTCATTGAGCAAATCCTTTCTTTCTCTACACTTTGGCCTTTCCAGTACCTTACTTTGGTAAGGGTTAATCTTGGTCTCATCAGCTCATCAGAAAACTAGAACTTTGTATTTCTCTGTGAATTCCGAGCTTTTTTTTTTCATATTCTTCACAGCTCTCACAGCGTTTCTATCATCAACTTCTGCTGTTTTCCTTGACCTTTCTCAAAGCTCTCACAATGTTTCTGAAGTTGTTTTCCTTGGCCGACCTGTTTGGTGTCTAGTTGTCAGTACACCAGTGGTTTCTTTCTTTTTCAGGACATTCCAAACTGTTGTATTGGAAATGTCTTGGAAAGAAAGGCCAAGAAAACAACAGTTGTTAAGGTACTGTTTATTTGCTGAAATTAACACCAAAATAAAAAAGCAATCACACATTTTATATTTTTTAAGATTTTATTTTTTCAGGTTAAATTGAACATAATTCATAGAACTCTGAAGAAAGTTCTCAGTAGAAGATTCTTTAACTGATTTTCAATTAAAAAATTAAACAATGTAAATGGACTGGGGGTGTTCAGACTGTACATACAATCAAGTCCATAAGTATTTGGGCAGTGACACTATTTTTGTGGTTTTGCCCCTATACACCACCACAGTGAATTGAAAGGAATCAGTCAATATATCAATGACTTTTTTATTTTTTATTTCTGCATAATTGAAGCATTCAAAATGAAAAAAGTCATTCACTGTAGTTTCATACTAAAAGCTTTTCTAGAGAATCTGATTCAGAACTGTTCACTGTGGTGGTGATAAGAACCTGAATAATTTGAATGCATTTAAAACTTCCTAGCAGAAAGGTATTACACTGAATGCTTATGAATATGCTGTCTGCTGCCAGAGATGTTGTTTTACAATAGTTGTCAGAGGGCTTGGCTTAAAATGTATTTGTTAAAAACAGTCATGATGGAGAGGTACATTCAAGGCATTACAAGGCACAACAAGATTGGATTGAAATTTACCACTTTACATCAAACCCCTCTGAATGACTTTGTTTACATTTTGACTATTGAGTGACACAGAAATCTTGAAAAATGCATGTCATCTAATTAAAATGATTTTCAAACTAGGAGCCATGTTGATCTGCTATACTGGTGCAGGTTGAGCACATAACGGCAGATACGACACAACAGCCTCAATGTTAGAAAATAGCTGCAGAGACATAATATACCTGTCTGAAAACTATGCAGAATATTAAGTGAACAGTTAATAGTGAAATATAGTACAAGACTCTAAATCATAAAAGTAATTTTAGTAACTGTTCACTATGATTTTTTTTTTTTGCACTGAATAAAAGAAAAAAAAACATTCAGTTATGACATGATTTTTGAGGCACTTTTGCAGGCACATTTATTACTGTTATTATCAGCAGCGTTATAATAAGCATGCAATTGGCTAAAGAAAATAAATTGTATTTAGTAAAAAACTGAAAGGCCAGTTTTGTCTTTTAACTGTTACCGAACACTTCAGACAGTAGTTGAAAGTTTGCTTTCCCCAGAGGTGGTAAGAACTGTGCCTCGGACTTTGTACTGGTCCCCGTCTTCTGCTATTGCATTCTCAATCTTGGACAGAAGTGCATAACATTGGTCCTTAAAGTCCTTCCCCATGAAAGCATAAAGAAATGGGTTCAGACAGCTGTTAGCATTAGCAAGAACGACAACAACTGTTAATCCTGACAGGTGAAAACTCTTGTATTTTTCATAGTCTAGTTCCATCAAAGCAAAAGTGTTATAAGGCAGCCAGCAGATCAAGAAAGTAATAATCAGCACCGTCATGATCTTAAATGGCTTTTTGGACGTCGCCATCTGGTTGGACTTCAGCTTTCGAATAATGACAAAATAACAGATGATAATGATCAGATACGGGATCAAGAATCCAAAAATGAATTTGCACACCACATCCACAGTTTTCTCTTGATCGCTCTTGTAATTTCTGTCACAAATAGTTGTCATGTTGTGGTCATCATATTTAACAACTAGGTAAAAGGCCGATGGTAGGCTAAGTGCTGCTGAGATGACCCAGGCTAGCATGACTATCACAGAGGCCTTTCTTACAGTGCGCTTGTTCTGAGCCCACACAGGAAACATAACAACCACACAGCGGTCCACACTGATGATGACGAGGAGGAAGATGCTGCTGAACCAATTTAAGTACATGTTGAAGAATATGAGCTTGCACATGAAAAGCCCAAAGATCCAATCATTTTTGACAACATCAACAATCCCCAAGGGCAGGGTGGAGCAGAAGAGGAAATCAGACACAGCCAGACTCAAGTACCAGATCGCATTGACAGATTTCTTCACCTTAAACCCTGCAATCCAGATCACCAAACCATTTCCAGCAACACCCAGGATGAAGATGATGACATTCACCACTGCATAGAAAATGCATGGCACATCTCTGCACATCTCTGGTGGAACTGTAGTCTGGTTTGTGTGGTTCTCATAGCCTTGGTGTTCTGGTTCTGTCATAGGGGTTGAATTCATGATGGCTCTTAATCTGTAGAGAAAACAGAAAAGGTGAAGAACAAACAGAAAAGGTGCAACTCTGCTGAATTACAACAAACCATGTAGACAATCACAATATTTCTGACTTTCTTCCTAAAGGCACATTCGCAAGAAGCCTACAGATGAATGTCTTCAAGTTCATAAGAGACCAACTGTCATGCAGAGTAGGTAATTGCATACTACCTGACTCTGTTTTGGGAGGCATTGGTGTGGCAATCTTTTAGTACAATTAAATATTGCCTTGCCTCCCTTCTCAAGACTGCTGTTAAGATCATAGATAAAAAGGAATCAAAGGCGGAAAATTCTTAACAGTACATTATGTAAGATTTGAAAATTTAGTGATATCTCTGTTGAAAATGTATGACGTGCACATAACATTTGCAATGTGGGCTGTGCTTTATACATCTTCCTCAAGTGGATGAATCTGATGATTGAGATTGCCTTGAAACAGTATTGAAAGAGAACTCATATACCATTGTCATAATATCTTCCTGAGTGCAATGTTGATTATTAACAATGTTGCCGTTAATATGTACAAACCTATAAATTGATTTGACATTCAAATTATTAGTTCAAGCTTTACAGGGAGACTCACTGCAGCCCATGTACAACAAATTCTATTGTGTTTTTTCTCCCTCCTGATGCGGTAATTATATTTCTTTCAATTTTACCAAAAAAGGCTAATGTACTGTAGCTTTAAGTAATTGTAATTCATTACTATATGTAAAGGGGTACTCTGGCCAAATTAAATATTTAACTATTGCCACATCTGTTGTAAACATGCCTGTTCAACTCCTACAGTGGGGTAGTAGAAGTCTCAAACATGAAGTCATCAAACATTTAAACTTTCAATGTAAAAAAAATTACAAATTTCAATGAGAATTTTTCTTCTTTTTTGAAGAAAGTTTCAGTTACCACACATTTATTTTTCACTGAAGCATCCAGGACCTATGCTGATTCTTTTCGTGTGCAAAAAAAACAGTACTGCCTACTAGTCGAAGAAGTTAATTAAAAGTAAAAAAAAAAAAAGTTAATTAAAAGTTAATTAAAAAAAGTTCTACTAACTCTAATTTTTTTAGTTCTGCATCTCATTTAGGTAACAATATAGAATTTGTTTTTTTCTCACTTTCCCCCAGTAGTTGGGACCCTTTCCATCAGACATGGAGTCATCACAACCTCACCCCAACATGAGGTTTGAATCCCAGCCGTCCATGTATGGAAGCCCACGAGAATAAACTACCTGGTGTGATTTTGAGATAGAAGGAGTCCCAGCTAATGTAGAAACTGAGTAAGAAACAAACTTTGGACTAAAGTAAGACATTTCAGTTGGGTGAACTCGTCCTCAAGTTGAGTTAATTCGACAAAAGCAGTGTTATCAGTCACCTCATAATTTTAAGTAGAGCTGATTTCTCATTGTTTTGTCAGCACTTGAATCAAATGAACTGAATCATTTCATTTGTGTAGAGTTTACTATGTCATTCAACTGCTTCAGAAATGCAAATGACTGTATTCTAATGGTGCACCGGTTTAAAAAAAAATGACTTACCTGCCTATCCTGTTTCTGTATGGTCCTGCAGATCAGAAGGTTTTGTTGCTTATGATGAGCGGTAAAGGTTTTCAGTCAGTGAAAATACTGTAGCATTCAGTTCCGCTCTGCATTTACTTTAGATTTCACAGTTCAAGAGCTCACTGTTGTGGCCCTACGCCCACTACCCAGTTGGGCAACTGACCTCAAGGAGGAACAGGTTAAATAGATGTACTCTATGGTGTATTTTGGAGAGCGCAGTAGATGAAAGCTTTACAGTCAGCTTTGTTTATATAAATCAATTGTGAACTGTTAAGGTTTACTTGAGGCTTATAAAAAAGCATTTGCAATGCAGAGACACACAGCATTCAATTGAAAAAAACACAAACATCACAATTTCACAAAATTTTCAAAATGTCCTGTGACTGGTCATACGTTGTTTGCCATAATGATATCATGTTGTATTAATTGTTTTTGTTCAATTTCTGTCTGTGCTGGCTACAGTTACTCAGAACTCAGAGCTCAGTTACTCAGAATTCAAAAACAAACCGCAAACCCTTTTCTGCTGAAATGCCTTCACTGCTTCACTGCCCTGTTGGGCAACTCACCTCAGTATTTACAGTGATGAAAAAGATGTTAAATAGATGCATGCTATGGTGTATTGTGAAAAAAATAGCAGAAGAAAGGCATTCCAGTGTACAAAGGGGCATACCCAGGGGTGGCCTGTCCCATCTTCCCATGAAGAGTGGCCACCCTTCTGACCACCCCAGTTAGACAAAGACAGTCATCCATCATCAATGAAACAGTCACCTCAGAAAAATTCTGCTACTTCATGTGAAAGGTTTCATGGTTAAAAAAAATCTGCCATTTGGGCAGTTAATAATCAGTTATGATCTCACACTGCACTTACAGTTTGTGATTTGTGCAGTATGTGGATTACTGTCACAATACTGTGACTGAAGATGTTCTGTACATAGTAGAAATAATACAAAGAACAAAATGTATACTTTCCAGACCTTTCTAGAGTGAAAGTGCATTTAAAAAGATTTTGTCCAATGCACTCTTTGAGCTACTTTATATAATGTAGGCTAAATAAAGGTAATGTAAGGTAACTATCAAAAATTAATAACTGCATTTACTGCAGGCTAGCTTTCATCAGAGGTGAATCCAGTGCTGGGTATATATTGCTACTAATGTTACAGTAGGTTAGTGTGTTAGCTACCTAGCCAGACATCCTGCTCACCCAGGGAAAATGCACACACAAAACATCACCTCTCCTTTCCCAGTGTAGTGACCACTGCATGGCCACTGGTTGGCTTGCTAGGCAGAAGGTCACTGCAAATGACCTCTCCTACATCACTGCATCTGTAGCAACACCTTCTCATATGTGCCCCTATTTCCACAGAGATAGGTAGGCTAGGCTCATTAGCCTTGGCTTACAATCAGCCTAAGAGAAGGACAACTCTGACTTTAAACTCAGGCAGATGGAGCTTGTCTAGTCCCATCAGGCCATTCATCGAGGAGAAGACACTCCGATATAACACCCACAACCAGAGGACCTCGCTGTCATCCCAGCTTGTTATGCCATGGTAGATGTACCCTGGATGTGCGCACACTTCCTCCACCTAAAAACTACACTGCGCAGGCCCAAAATGCATGCCCTCACCTATGACTTAAATCATCCAGTCCTGCAGCAATAGGAAAGAGGCAAGACAGCAGGTGGAAGATGGCATGCTGGGATAACAGAACAATGTTCAATACAGCAGACAATGTTTGCCAACAACGACGCTTCCTTCTAGATGCCTATGAACTTTCTGAAGGCTGAATGTCAACATTGCTGCTGTCAGCTTCTCAGAGGACAGCACCCTTAGAGAACATGGCGCCAGCTACACTCTCTGCTGGTCAGGCAAGTTAGAGACTGAGAAATGCCTTTCTGGCATTGGTTTTATGGTCTGGCACCCCACTGCATCCAAACTTGATTCATTCACAGTGTGTCATATCCATGTGCCAAACAAGCAACATGCAGCTTGTATGCCCCAACAAGGACAAGTTTTACACTGATCCGTGCAACCTTGTATAGAACACCCTTGCAGATGACAAGGTCATCATCCTTGGCAACTTTAATGCCAGGGTAAGCAAAGATTCAGCCTGGAAAGAAATGCTTGGCAAACATGATGTTGGAAACTGCAATGATGTTGGGAGCCCTCTGTAAGAGTTTTGAGCAGAGAAGCAACATTCCATCACCAACCGTTTTCTAGGAGAAAGACATCTTTGATGCATCCTTGGTTCAAGCATTGGCATCTCATTGACTACATCTTGGTGCACCAGAGAGACCTTTGAGACATCTTACTTACCTGAGTGATGCCCAGTGCAGTGTCATACAGACCACAGTCTTTTGCACTGCAGTGCAAGCCAAAGGGTGGAGGCACTCCAAGGAAGAAGTTTCACATTGGCAAACTTCAGTCAGCTGAAACTAAAAGCTTACTTCCAGGTGAATCTTCAGTTGAGGCTTGAGGATCCCAGTTTCACCACAGACCCCTCTTTGAGGGGAACACTTAAAATCCATGACCATGCAGACCCTTTGAAGAAGTTCTTGAAGACTGGTTTAATTAGAAAAAAGATCCAGGTATTACTGGTGAAGAAGGGATCCACTCACCAAGTGCACATTGCTCGGCTGTCCTGTCCTGACAAGAAAGCAGCCTGCAAATTTTGAGAGATTCAGAACGGGTGATGCACCAACCTTGCAGAGCTCTCAGCTTTGCGCTGACATCAGTGACTACAGAGGGTTATGTGAAGCATGGGGGACCAGTACTACACACCAAACTACTTGAGTTCTTTCCCTGCTGCTGGCAGCAAAGTAAACTACCACAGGACCTATGTGACACAGTCATCATCACAAGAACTAGGGAGCAAAGTCAGACTGCTCCAACTATTGGGACTTGCTTGCAGGAAAAATCTTTTTAAAGGATGCCTGAACAGTCTGGTCCCCAGTGTTGCAAAACAATTCCTCCCAGAGAGCAAGTATGGCTTCAGAGCTAACAGGGGCACCACTGACATTTGCTATCAGACAGCTCCAAGAGAAATGCAGGGAACAGAATGAAGGGCTCTATGTGACATTTGTTGGCCTCACCAAAGCATTCTACATTGTGAGCAGGAAAGGTCTGTAGCATATTATGGAAAAACAAGGATTTATCCCCCAATGTTCCTCAACATGATCACATACATAAAGACAAGCGTGGCCAAGTCAGACTCAGCAACAACCTTTCAGAGCCCTTCTCTCCAGGCAAGCCTACATCCTCCCACTGACCCTCTGAATGATTTTCTTCAACATGATGCTCCAAAGGTCCACAGTAGATGTGGACGGTGTCTACATCCAATACCACACCAATAGCAGCCTGTTTGAGGTGACTAAGGTCTCACACCAAGACAGTGGAACAACTCATCCGAGAGCTAACCTTTGCAGACGATCCTGCCTTTGTTTCCCACACAGTGACAACTATGCAGCATATAACATCTGGCTTTGCAGAGGCTGTTGGGCTCTTTAAACTAGAAGTCAGCATGGCGAAGACATAATTTCATCCTCAGGAAGATAACCACCCTCCCCGCATCACCATTGGTGAGTCAGAGCTGAAGGTAGTCCTCTAGGTTAGCTACCTGTGGTGCATCATCTCCTCAGACACCAAGCTCAACAAAGAAATTGACAACAGAATGCTAAAATCAAACAGTGCATCCGTCAGATTGTATAAAAGAGTCTGGAACAACAAGTATTTGAAGAAAAACATGAAGATCAGTGTGCTGAACACATCATAGGCCATTCCAATTTTCTATTATAGCAGAACTCAGTAATGTACAGTAAAGTACAGTCAGTAATGCAGAGCAAACTAGACAGGTTATATTGTGTTAGGCCTGTACATACATGCATTGCATCAATGATAAACTACGTACGTTAATCGCTGATCCCAGATAGCAATGAAATTTTGGCCCAAATGTGGCCCACATCTGCAGTTCTCTTATGGCCCATACTTGGCCTTGATGTACAGCGTTGACTCGGGGTGAGTCTGGCTGCCTCAACTCAGCCACAGGTCCACCAAACATGGGCCAAATCCGGGCCAAATAAATTTATCATATGCTCACCTTACATGGGCCATGTCTGGGCCAAATCAATTTGCCATATGCTCACCTTACATGGGCCATGTCTGGGCCAAATCAGGGCCAAAGGACTTAACCTCAGCTTCACTTTATATGGGCCGGATGTCACATGTTTTGGACCAGATCTGTGCCAAATTAAATGTACCATATGCTCACCTTACATGGGCCAGGTCAGGGCCAAATCAGGGCCAAAGAACTTAATCTCAGCTTCATCTAAAATGGGCCAGATGTGTGCCAGATCAGGGCCATACCATACACTTACCCTACATCGGCCATGTTATGGGCCAGATGAAAGTACCATGTTATGGGCTGTACGTCAGGCACCGCAGCCGGCATTTCAACATTTATTTATGGTTGAGTCAATGTTGTGAATCAAGGTTAAACACTTTTTAATTTTGGTTTGTTTTTTAAAAGTGAATCAAGGTAGGTGGACATAGCATAATCAACAGTTTGCTCCAGTTTTCAGAACATGATGTGCATTATCATTTATTAAGCCAGTATATACTGTATTACTTTGTAAAAGTCACTGATTCTTAAAGCTCACCTGTATGCATACATGAATTTCAATGACAACACTAGAAATAATTTTGAAACAACAGCTTTAATTGTCTTACAAAAATATACAGAACTTGCACAGACAAAATGGCTGGAATAGCAAGTACATAGTAACAAACACAGACAGTTAGTCTACTTTACAACAGCAGTTAACAACTTTCTCTTTTAATCCAGGTATAGATACTACAGCTGTGATTATTCTTTGTGTGTGCACATGAAAACATGGCTTTCATGACAAACAGCCAACTGCATGAAACATGAATAGAAGCTACAAAAGAAGGAAAAATAAACTACATCTACATGAAAATGTAGAAAGAAAAGCATTTATAATCGTTTAGATTGCTTGTGGTAGCCAGTGTTATTAGTTGGCCTCTAACTTTACAGAACATCAGCTGGCAAGACAATGTACAGAATGTGCAGAGGGCTGAGGAAAATGCATTTGGAAGTGGCAGAAAAATACTATAGAGCTTTTCTATACTCTACTGTACCAGTTCATGCCATTTTCCATGAAGAATGTAATGCAAAGGAAAGTGTAATTTATGTAGAAATTGTAGAACATGTAGAAAATTTAAGACTGTGGTGTAAAGCACACAGTGGGAATGTTCTCTGGAGTGATAAATTATGCTTCACTATCCAGCAGTCTGATGGATGAAACTGGGTTTGGTGCATTTAAAGACACTTGCATGCAACATGATACCCATATGTAATATATTAAAATGTTTAGAACAATCTCAGCTTTCTATAATGAGTCCCTTTTGACCTGGAGCACAGTGTAAAGAGATAATCAGGCCTAATGAAAATTCAAAGTCTAGTTTTAGAAATTCTTAATATCTCTTGTGAAAGTGTAGCTTTACTCATGTAGACAAATTTTTTTAGTGCTTGAAATGGGTTTACCAAAGTCTTAGGTTCACAAAAGTAGACATGTTCTCCTCATCGCTATACTTTCCAAAACCGCTGCAGCAACACAGCATTTCACATCTGTGTCTGAGACAACTAAACGAAAAATGAAAGGTTTCCAACATTAAGGG